GAACTTTTAACAAATACTGTGAAAATCATGTGTTTGCGTTAACAAACACATGGTGGCAGCTATTATATGTGTGTGTAAGGGTTAGCTGAAGAGTTAATTGACCCCAGTCACAATCACTTTCAGTCTGATAGTCATTGTTGTCCCCTGGGATGGAAAATCTCTGTGCAGGGTGAGGCTGAGAGTCTCATTATCCCATTCTGATGGCAGTGTTAGATTTTAAAACTGCCCCTGCCACACTTAGTGATGTCTGCTTGCTTATCCATTGTAATTTGTCTTCTCCTCCTTGTGGTTCAGGGGTGAAGGACTATGTGGCATGTCACACCCTGATCCAGCCTACTCTCTACTGCATACCCCTATCTCATCATGTAAAGTCCATTGCTCTCCAAGGTGAACTGGCCTGAACTTTTGTGGGAAGGGTTACTTTCAGGAGCTGGAGTGTCAGTTGTGTGCCTGCTTACTTTCCCTGAAACTTTGAGACCCCAGCAGCCTGAATGTGGCAGAAAGGGATGTGTTTACAAAGTGGACATAGCATGATTGGCTGAGTCAGCGAAAGGCAGAGCAGGTGATAGCAAATCTCCCTCCACCCACATGCTGATCACTGGAAAATGAAATAGGGGTCTATTCACTAAGCTGCCGTAGGCAGCCGAGTGAACGACCGACCTGAAGTGAAGTGAGCCGAATGCTGTTCGGCTATTCACTTCAGGTTTGTACGGCTGATTTCAGCCGTATATCGGCTGCTGATGTCAATCACTAGAGGGAACCTGATGGAGAACTGCAGGTCCCCTTTGCTGATTGACAGCAGCAGTGGGTGGGTGCAATAGCTAGTTTGCTATTGGCTATTGCAAATTGAAATAGCCAATACGAATCTAGCAATGCATTCCTACGGTGAAAATTTTAGTTTTTTTTGTTTATTCTGAAGGCAGTCAATGGCTCCATGTCAGAATAAAAAGAAAAAGCAGGGAAAGGTTAACTCGATTCGATCGAGCAGAGTAAACCTTTCCCTGCTTTTTCTTGGAGAAAGTGTTTCTCTCCTGGGTGACGGGAGCGGGAGACTCCCGGAGCGCCCAGGAGAGTTGGGCTGTCTGGAGATCAGTGTCCCTGGTTAGCTGGTAACCAGGGACGCTGATCTCTCTGCAAGTGGCCGGAGCCAGCCGTAAGATCACAGCTGGCTCCGCCCAGCTGTCAGAAGCAGGCTGTCGGCCAATGGCCGGCTGCTCGGCCAGCTTCGCCTTTCATCTCGGCTCAGTCGAGCCGAGGCATATGCCTTCGGCTCGACTGAGCCGCCCGGCCCACTTCGGGAGCTGTACGGGCTATAGTGAATAGCCCGTACAGCAGCCCTTGGGTCCTTTGGCCGAAGCTAGCCAAAGGATCAGCCCAAGCTACGGCTAGATCCTTCGGCTGCTTCGTGAATAGACCCCATAATCTAGCTCTGAATCTGTCAGCATTTACTACATTTGGGACTGTTCTGTTTGTAGTTCATGGTAAATTGTGGAAGAGCTTACAGATAAAGCTGTCTTAAAGCCGTTCTGGTCAGTTCCTGTACATTGCATTACTGTCATAATTTAGGACTATATTCTGTGTGTATAAAATAAACCAATAATGAAACACACCACTTCTAAATTACATATTTGGTTTCTTTATTGTGGATATATTTTACAGAAAGATGAAACCATGAGGACAATAAATTAGAATTGGAATTGTCTACAATGGGAACAGCTGTTCCATAAAAATAAACTATTTATAAAGCAAATAACACAGAGACTGATAGTTCTGTCTGAATGATTGTACAGCCAGTTGGTGGAGGCCATTGCTGGTATTGCTGTAGATGGGATGTGCTGCTCCATAGGTGCTATAAGAACAAAGCTCTGAGGACTGCAGACCCAGAATGCTATGCCTCCCTGGTCCAATTCCTCATACACACATTTTTCAAGTACAAAATGGTTTAGATACATACAGTTAGGAAGCAAACATAGATTGCTCTGAAAGAAGCTCATACTGTTTTTACAGTAGTGGAAATAAAATGAAGTCATAAATGTCCATGTCGAGTGGCAGCTATACATGTATTTGCAAGATACAAAGCAATTAGACCACATTCAGCAGTCTAGAAACAGTAAAGAGAAGTTTTTAAGTCTCACAACAGCAACACTGTTCAGATAAAGTATTCAAAATATGATTAGAAAACGTTTTCATTATTTGATTCAATCAACCCTCATAGCTGTTGTCCCAAGAATGTATACCAGAAATGGGCTACCAATGATTTTCCTAGGATTCAGTTCACCAGATGCTCTGCTAGGGTAGACTAAACAAGGAACTTGTAGAGTAACATGGGAAATATAGCTTATTAGCTACTGGAGTACCACCCTGCTGTGATGTGAACAGTGGATGTCTTTTCAACCACATTCATAACTGCCGATGCAAGTGTAATAGTGGAATGCTTCATTTCCAGTGGGGACCTTGACTGTCCACTTTAAATTGGCCACCTTTAAAACGTTAATGCTGAAAATTCTTAATTTATTTACTGCAGAACCAGGAACCAGCTACGCACAGTGGCATTGCAGCCAATATTAACCAATTATCTTTGTTACTGAGTATTTGCTTACAAAAAAGGGAAACAAGCTTTAGTATTAATGTGATCCATGTATCAAGTGCATATGAAAAGTTGACAATTGATGTAAATGCTTCTAATAGATAGTAATCAAGTTTCTCTGAGCACCAAGAATAATGGAAATTTACACATAACAAGTAATGTGTCCGATCCTGGAAGAAAATGTGTGGTTGCTAAATTATGGAACTAATTTATAACCAACAGTCCGGGGGTAAATTATGTTTAATAACACATAGCAACCATTCAGATTTCACCTTTAACATATTAGGGAAATAAGAACAAGGAAAGCTGATTACTGGCTGCTTGGTTACTATATGTTGCTTTATTTTAAATTCATATTGGACACGATTCTTTATTCTTGTTAGAATTAGTTCATGAAGAAACAGTTGTGCACACTGAAGTATCTCAAGATGAAGAAAGTCACCAGTTTCTGCAAGTTAGCCCTGATATGCTTGGTAGCCATTAATTCTACATTGAATCTACTCTGAGAATGCAAAGAATGGTAAAATTAAATAAAATACCAATAGTTTGCACCAGCATAGAGGATATCCATTTTAGTTCCAGTAACTAGGAAAGCAAGAAAACAGCCATATATTTTTTTAAAGAGCAGTGGTACTACTATTTTGAAATACAAAATTAGTGATACCCTTGTCATCTAGTACCATTAGGATGAACCCACCATGTAAATGCAGCTGCTTTTACAGTGGAAGTATTACAGTATTGGGAATGATGTTATATGAACTTAAAAATGACAATGTCAGGATTCATCGGGCTCAAATTGGGAAAGAGTGGTTCAGGGAGCATGAGACATCATTTTCACACATGTATTGGTCACCACAAATTCCAGACCTTAACCCCATTGAGAGACTTTGGGATGTGCTGGAGAAGACTTTTCACAGTGGTCCAACTCTCCCATCATCACTACAAGATCTTGGTGAAAAATGAACGAATGATCTCTTATATTTAAATAGTTTGATGAAAGCCGGAAGGTGGATTGATTTTAAATAGTGATGTAAACTCAAAATCTGTTTTTCAGCATGTTTCGCACCATGCCTTACTGTATACAGTTTTCGTAGACGGATCATTTTCTTGTGAATCTGTTGCAAAGTTTCTTACCTGAAGATCCGGTCATCAACCTCACTTCCTTTGCAGCCTGACAGTGCAAAGCCACTGCCTCGCAATTTGCAGCAACTTTGTCAGCCTGCCACATGTTCTCCTTTAGTTGGCTATTGAGATGGCTATTAGGTTTATCAGATGGGCAGGCAAATGACCAACACTCGTGCTGCAGACTAAGGCCTTATTCAGAAGGGGTGTACACGTCCATGTGGCGTGCACGCCCGTAAACGGGCCGATCCCGGGTGGGACAAGTGCTGCGTTTAATAGCGTGCAGTAGCCTGTTCTTCCCTATGGGAGGATGTAGCTGTATGCTGTCATCCGCACTCCCGAACTAGCACGTCCGGTTGACCACACTTGGATGCACACTGTTTTTCTTTTTCCTGTCAACCTGCAACAGGAAGTGCTATTACTGGCAGAATCTCCAGGTAAGAAAGTTTGCAACAGATTTACAAAAAATTATTTTCTAATAAATTGTATACGTTGAGGCAGGATGACAAACACAATTAAAATGAGATTTCAGGTTTATATTTACTTTAAGGTCAAAATAAAATTTAAATGTATTGTTACCTGTGCATTTTTAGGAAACAATGCGGAGGGAATTTATCAACACTGGAGCAGAAGAATTTGGAGCAGTTGCCTATGGCAACCAATCAGCGTCTCTCTTCAGTTTGTTCAGTTAAGGTTTGAAAATGAAAGAGAGAAGCTGATTGGTTGCCATGCACAGCTTCTCCAGATTTTGTCTGCTCCAGTTTTGATAAATTCCGCTAAGTGAATGTAACAAAACAGTGCAAAGAGCATATAACAGTAGCGTATCTCCCACTATAAATGTAGGCCTGCAAAAGAGGATATAGAAAAAATGTTCTGATTTGTGCTTGAGACAGGAGGCTACCTCTGTGGTGCTTAACATTACTAACAGAAAGGTTGGCTTATCCAGTCTTGAAAATGGAAACTCCCTTGTCTGACAGTTAGACTGAACATCTCTGTGCATTTTGCTGCTTCCCTAACAAGACAAATACTCAACAAATGGAGAAAGATTTTTTACATGCAAATATATCTATATAGATTTATATTTATATATATATGAACATTTTTGGTTTGTATTTTGTGTATTTTGGCCAACTTATAAATAAAACACTCTTGGAAATGGAAATGCATAGACATATTCGGTGTAACTTTGTACTGACTGTAAGGAATTAAGATTCTTCAACAATGAATTATTTTCTGTTCTCTTTAATGAGTTTTTAATGAGAATCCCAGTCTTCTTCCCAATAGAGATGAGCCCACTTCAGGATACACAGCAAAGGACGACCACGTGACTATGCTTGAATTCAGGCAGAATTTCCTGTGCAGAATCCTTCGTGGGATATATATTGTCATTCACAGTTTGAAATACAAATACCCTGATGCATCACAAATTGACTATTAAGAATTTTGTGATTATTATAGTTTTTGGACTTCAAATGTTTTTTTGAGTTTAAATAGTCTTTGACTGTGCACAGTTCCACTGAAGAGAAAAAAAAGGTCAGGCCCTCTTTGCATGAAGCATTTCGATTAGGAGATTGTTACATGGCACGTCACCATTGAGATGTTTGTAATATAGATATTCTTCTGCCTGCAAACTAATAGCCCGAATTTCTGGAAGCCGTAGCAACAATTGGCCAAATTTGTCTGTTTGCTGGGGGTAGTTACATAGGGTGTAGTCCAGAAGAGCAGCATTTACTTGTTCCTGAACTCCCTCTATCAACTGGAAATTCTCCAAGTTCTTCACATCTAGATCACAAAAGAAAACAGAAAATAATTAGAACATTTAGTGCACTCTCTAGTAGTGATAAGAAGCAATATGACATTTAGATTATTAATATTATCTAGATAAAAGAGGTCAAAAGTCACTTTATTAAGCTTTAAGATTGAGGAAAAATGTAAAAATTCTGTCAGGTTTTTATTGTTGTGCCGCCACTGGGGAAATTTTCCCTTACATCCTGTCCGGTGACCATTGTCACTGGGATAGGAAGTGAGAAACATATTCCTATGCACATTAGTTGTACAGCCTGTGTTTATGATGTCATTGTAAGCAAAGTGATGTAAAAAGAACAAATGGGACTAGTTTTCATTTATTAACTTTCTGGACAGCAGGTAAACTATGTGCTGTAAAATCCCCCCCCGCACACACACTATGTTGCTTTAAAAATGTAAAATCTTCTGCTTTGGTAAGCCTTTTAAGAAAATAGATCTAAAACAATTATAAAAAAATCAGTTTTGCAATATTTTCAGTTCTAGCACAATTATATTTACATTAATTGCTAACATTCGGTGGGTGCACTAATAGTTTACACGGGGACACACATATGGGCTAAAAATGAAACATATATACTTATATAGAAGATAGATTTTCATTAGAAATTCATAATACAACTTCAATTGAGCAGAATCAAGGATAGCTTAAATAGAACAAGGTCAAACCCTTTAGTGACACAAGGGTTGTAGATTCTCAGAGTCTGAACATAATATACGGTCTCCTAATGAGTCTCCAGGGCCCATCCTATCTTTAAACCAGAGTACAGCACAATTCATATCATTCAGATTAATTTTTCTGACCCAAGGTGAATTTAGAAACTGACCCGCCAAACCGTGAATTCTAATAAAACAAGACAAGAGGTCTTGTTTCCGTGAGACATTTTTCTAAATGATAGCAAAACCCTGGGACAGGCCAAGACTATGCTAATGAACCATCTGCTACACTCAGCTGGAGAGCAGAATGATCTTCATGAGGTACCACCTCCTAAAATATATATCTCTGTGACTGATCATCAGTGCAAAATAGATGGTCTGCTGGCCTTTAACCTTGCAGAAGATTCTCATGCATTTTTATTTTTATATCGAATAGACAATATATCCTCATCTGAGGTGTGTAAAGTAGAAGGTTAAGGTGTCACCCTCTCTTAGGACTAACGTGAATCAAGGGCTCTGTCATGTTTCATTGGACATATAAAGTTGAGTGCCACCTTATCCAAAAGTAAAACATCTTCATTTTATAAATCGAGAGGTGTTTTTTTTTTATTTTGCATTTATGCTGTCTAATTTGCACTGCAGTAATAAATGGGTGCAAACATGTTACATTGAATCTTTAGTGTTTAGAGGTTTGAGAAATGAAAAGACCCATCTAATGTATAAAAATGGATTTTTGTCACTGAACAAAACATGTGGCAATGGCCCATACATCTCACCATAACAATACAAAATAATGAAATATATTGGTTGATTTACTAAAGGAGTGCAAAATGTTAAGCTGTGCTCATGTTTAACATACAATCATGTGCAGGGGGAATATAAAAAAGAAAACAGCATTTTGCCTTGTACACAATTGGATAATTCAAGAATCTCTCTTAATTTTTGGAAAACATGTTTCATAAAACATGGGATGAGCTGCATGAAAAAAATTATTTGAGCTAGGAGAAATTGCAGATTCAGCTGTTGTGTGGCAATCGTTTAAAGGTGACAGTTATCTCTTTTTCCTTCCATTTAAATAACTGCTTGTCTGCAGCAACTTGCATTGTTGTTTTATTTTTCATGTAATTTGTCTGATATTATAAAATGTTATTGATTCAAATAAACTTCAATCCCAGTGATACTGCATTTAGCAAACAGTTCTATGAAAATTATTTTAAAACAATACAAAAATATTACATATCATCATTAATGACAATTTAGGGAAATAACAAAATTCTTTGTACTGGAAAAACCTCTACTGCACATCAAGTTTAAAAATAATGGGGTAATTCATAAAAACTGGAGCAGACAGAATCTGAAGCGTTGTCCATGGCAAACAATCAGCTTCTCTGTTTCATTTTCAAAGCTTAACTGAACAAACTTAAAAGAGAATCTGATTGGTTTCCATAGTATATATTGAAATATTTCTGTCTTGGCTTCTCTTTAATGGTCTTCCTGTAGCTTGGAATGCAGAATACTGCAGGAGGTGGGGTTGAATAAGTGGCTTTACTGATGCTAAATAAGCCAGAACCAAGTACAAAAGTTAGCTGTAAAATTAAGTCCTTTAAATTGTGTAATAAAAGAATATATAAGCCCAGTCACTAAAATCTCATATAAGCTGTAACATATGTAACTTAAAGGGTAAGTTCACATTTTCAATAAAATACACTATGCAGTTTAAAAGGTATACATGTAGGCCATTAGCGGCCATTACCCTTTAAATAGTATTTTTCCATCTTTTTAAGTGTGCAGATTTCATTGATCCTAACATGAAGGTTCTTGCTTAGACACTTCCTGTTATAGGATAGCACCACTCTGTCCATGTCTCCTTTTTGTGCTTCTGCATTGTGGCCCTCTCACATGGGCTTCCTATGGCAACCACAAATGATCGTTTCAGCAAACATTTCACAGGCATGGTCTAGTATTGTCACCATCAGCTCTGGTGACATCCAAACGCAGCCCTGGTGAGACATGCATGCAGCCCTGGTGACACCCAAACACAGAAACACAGAGACACCCAAACACAGCCCTGGTGACACTCAAATGCAGCCCTGATGAGACCTGTATGCAGCCCTGGTGATACCCGAAAGCATCCATGTTGAGACCTGCACACAGCCCTGGTAAGACCCAAACTCAGCCCTGGTGAGACCTGCATGCACCCCTGGTGAGATCTGCATGCAGCCCTGGTAAAACCCAAAAGCAGCTCTGATGAGACCACACACAGACCAGGTGAGCCGGTTGCCATTTTCCATTGCTGTATAATCATGGATTGATGTGATCTTTAGTCTTCTATTGCTGGTTGGCTATCTCCATTGTTGTATAATCACTTAATATAGTAAAAAAATAAAACCCCCAGTGGTGAATAAATACCACCAAAAGAAAGCTCTATCTGTCCCCAAAAAAGGGTATAAAATTCATTTCAGTACAGCGCTGCATGACGGAATAAATGTCAGTCAAAGTACCGCAGCGCTGAATACTGAAAAATGGCCTGGATGGGAAGGGGGTTTAACACCGAGGATGTCAACTGGTTAAATAGTATTTTTCCATCTTTTTAAGTGTGCAGATTTCATTGATCCTAACATGAAGGTTCTTGCTTAGACACTTCCTGTTATAGGATAGCACCACTCTGTCCATGTCTCCTTTTTGTGCTTCTGCATTGTGGCCCTCTCACATGGGCTTCCTATGGCAACCACAAATGATCGTTTCAGCAAACATTTCACAGGCATGGTCTAGTATTGTCACCATCAGCTCTGGTGACATCCAAACGCAGCCCTGGTGAGACATGCATGCAGCCCTGGTGACACCCAAACACAGAAACACAGAGACACCCAAACACAGCCCTGGTGACACTCAAATGCAGCCCTGATGAGACCTGTATGCAGCCCTGGTGATACCCGAAAGCATCCATGTTGAGACCTGCACACAGCCCTGGTAAGACCCAAACTCAGCCCTGGTGAGACCTGCATGCACCCCTGGTGAGATCTGCATGCAGCCCTGGTAAAACCCAAAAGCAGCTCTGATGAGACCACACACAGACCAGGTGAGCCGGTTGCCATTTTCCATTGCTGTATAATCATGGATTGATGTGATCTTTAGTCTTCTATTGCTGGTTGGCTATCTCCATTGTTGTATAATCATGGATTGAGTTACAGTTCTTCATAATTATAAAGAAACTGCCCTGACATCATTAGTCTGTATTGTTTTAGAAAAAAATGCCACATGTCCCTTTAAGAAAAAGTATTGGTAATTGGTATCGGCAAGTACCTGAGAGAAAGTACTTGTATCTGGTCATGAAAAAACTGTTATTGGTGCATCCCTGCTTACTAAGCATAAAATGTTTACTTACAGAAAATGAAAAAAAGTGTGTTAAAGTAACATCATAAGCAGAATCAGCTTCTCAGTTCCCCCTGTACTAGCCACGTCTAATCTATTCTGTTTTATTCACTCAGGGACTAATTACTTCTTTTTTTTCCTTTTTTACATGAAACAACCTCCAAATAAGAGCATAGAGAGCCATGTACTATCTTTATTGAACAGTAGACCCTAAGGTCCTTTTGAATATATTACACATTGGCAGACAGCAGAGGCATTCCCCCTTCATGTACTCAGGCTACCCTGCATACATTATTGTAATCAAGCCTTCTGTCTGTTAATTAAACAGCATCAGAGCACTGCTTATCATTTTCTTAATGGACTTAAGCAAACAGTGTTATTTAGTCATGAAGGCTGATTCCTGATATCTGTTAATCAAATAGATCATTAACCGTTTAACAACCATAAGCTAATAAAGGCTGTATGAAGATGACTTCATTTGCAGATTGTTTTCTCCATGGACAGCTAGCAGTGATGTCTTGAGGGCATTGCGGCTAAAGCCTTCCTACTAGAACACAAGTGCACTCATTGAAAAATACTCCTTTTTTCATTCATAGTCAGACTTATCAAGAGATGTCAATCAGACAAAAAGCCTCAAGCAGTTGAATGTCATCCTGAGCTTTTGAAAACAGCTTCAATCATTAAAGGATCTTACAGCATCTGCAGTATTTCCTGTACCAATATATATCCAATATTTTAGTTCAATATCAGACTATGTATGGAAGTGACAATGAAAAATGGGTGTACTACCACACAAAACAAATAGGCAAATTACTACAGGGGTATCTTAGTTTGTATTGTTCTTTAAACTACCTTCCCTCTGTCTTCAGGGCATATTGGGATTTTTTACTAATCAAAAGAAGGAGATCTGCCCAAAGGTACAGTGACTTGGACTAAACCTACCTCATTAG